TGTTTTGAAGCAACCAGTCGCTTTTGCACACCCATTTTCCAGGTCATCTTGCAGCCGCTGCGCTTTTGGTGAGTTTTCTTTTTATTTTGCGTCGTTGCTTTTTCACTCGACTTGTTCTTCATCACAGCTTCTTCTATGTGTTCTGTTTGTTGTGTGGAACACTATTTGAAGCTGTTTTGAAGCAACCAGTCGCTTTTGCACGCCCATTTTCCAGGTCATGCTAGCTTCCGTCTTTCGTAATTCGTGCCGAAGGTAACCTAATCGCTATTGTGTTGTACCGCTTTTGCTGATCCATTGTGTTTCGTTGATCGGATCGGATGGAATGGGATTGTAATGGGTTCTTTTCAAAAATGGCGATTGTGTTACTAATCTACACGTTTCTATTATGAGCTTCCTTTCGAAGTTGTGCTGCTTCTGTGATGTTCTGTTGCACCCGTTTGTGATTGCGGTCGTGCTTTTGTTACTAACTGCTTATTATGCTGATTCCTATCTTTCTTACTTGACTATTTTACTAACTCTACTTTTTGAGCATGTGCTTGATTATCGATGAACTATGATTGGCAATTAATGTTTATAACATGTGGGTATTAATTAGATAGATGAATTCAACGGAACAAAAAGCGTTCAGTAACGGAATTATAACATATTAGAACCCGTGTTAGTGACCCAAATTACATCATGAACCCGTGTTAGTGATCGAATGATGGCACAGTAGACCTGTGTTAGTGAGTGAACACAAAACAAGAACCCCACATGGAAAATAAAAAATATTTACAGTTCTAAACTAAATTCACTAAGTGCTCCATCCGATAGACTACTATCGGATGAGGTGTGTGGTGAGGAAAGAACTTCTTCATCGTCCAATGTTGTTGTTATTGGCATCTAATGCCTCCTTCAACCGTGCGCTATCTTCTTCCTTCATCGCTTCCCAACACCAACCCTCACACATTCGACTTGTCACAGTCCCCAGCACTTCGACAGCCCTAACCCTGACCTGAACGAATAAGAAGTGTCAGACTCAAATCGTTATGGTGAAGAGTTCTAGAAAAGATTACTGTTTCCAGCCTGTCCGTGGGTCTTCCCATCTTATTGAGCCGGTGTTTGAGGTAGCTCCAGCACAACTCCACTGGATTGAAGAAGCAGTGGAATGGGGGGAGCCTAAGTAAGCTCACCCCCATACTCTCGCAAATCCTCTCAGCGGCGTAACAGCGTAATGCTGCGACGCCGCCTCGACTGGCGACGAAGTGGTCCAGCTAAATATTGCATAAAGAGGCGAACTAGGACCGTTTTAATGAAGAGACCAACCTCTTGTAAGAGCGAAGCTTTTGTGCTATCTAAAGCCACTTCGACGCCATGCGAGGCGAGATAGTTTACAATTTCTTGCTTCGTGGAGCGCCTTGTAGGGACCTGCCAAAAACGGATTCTCGCTCGGTCAGCACGGTACAGCTTCAAATAGTGTTCCACATAACAAACAGAACACATACAAGAAGCTGTGATGAAGAACAAGTCGAGTGGAAAAAAGCAACGACGCAGAATAAAAAGAAAACTCACCAAAAGCGCAGCGGCTGCAAGATGACCTGGAAAATGGGTGTGCAAAAGCGACTGGTTGCTTCAAAACAGCTTCAAATAGTGTTCCACATAACAAACAGAACACATAGAAGAAGCTGTGATGAAGAACAAGTCAAATAGACAAAGGGACCAACGGAGAAAAAAATAAAATAAGTAGCAAGAGCAAAATCCCAACAATGGTTTTCATTTTCATAAAAAAAACATGCAATGTCCGTAAAAACACCGCGTTCATTTCTTTACATCACCTCTTCATAGTGATGTCTTGTGGTGAAAAGTAGCATAAAGTCAGTAATATACTGCATCCATACGTCACTAGCAAAGTCAGCAAAATCACTGGAATAATATCGGCGCGACGAACTGTCAAGTGCGCAACTCTACGCCAAGTCCGTAGCCCCGCCTAATGTGACTCCGAATATGGGGCGGTATTCAATCCTTCCCCCAGGGGGATATATCCCCCAACTCTGATTCAATCCTCTTCAATTCCTGGGGGGACAAAAAAGGGTTGCGTCATAGGACCTAGCATACCTCTGTGTTTCTACCTGCCAGACAGTTAGAGCAGCGCTACTACCCTCCACTGATGAAGCACTCTTTTCCCTGAGGGGTCGCGCTGCTCTAACTGTCTGGCAGGTAGAAACACAGAGGTATGCTAGGTCCTATGACGCAACCCTTTTTTGTCCCCCAGAGGATTGAATCAGAGGAGGGGATATATCCCCCTGGGGGAAGGATTGAATACCGCCCATGGAGGTGCAGACAAACTTCCATCACTCATTCTATGTCTACGCCTGCCCCGACAGAGCCAAAATTTCGCAAACTTTACTGCTGAGCATCACTCTGTTGGAAGCGATGCACAAAAAACGAGCAAAATAGTGCGTACGCTTGGGAAGGATCTCGTCTTGCAACAAATGTGAGAATGTTAGTACATATACTCTATGACCTGCGAGGTGTTGTTTAATCCTGCTGCGAATTCTGCTTGGCAGTAAAGATTGGAAGACGAATGTTTGTGGTTCTACTTGTTTCATGTTCAATGTCTATTAGTTCATTGAAATGCTCTTGAATCGTTCCTTTTTTTTTTTCAGGAATCAAACCAAACCAATCACAAAAATTGCAAGTGCCCCATTTGAACAATTGAAACACTGGATATGAAACAAGTGGAATCATGAGCAGTCTCCATTAAACCATAACCATCAAGCAGAAGTGACGGCGGGATTGGAGAACACCTTGCAGTATGGATGGGGCACTTGTGATTTCCGTGACCCGTCGCGAAATCGCGCAAATCGCAAAATCGCGCAAAGGACCGCGGAATCTGACATCAGTCATACTGATTCTGGGACCACGACTCGTCTCGCCGTGGGAAACAAAGTGTTAATTTCGCATAATGTACGTACGAAACAACTTCAATTATTTTCGCTATTTCCCGCGAGGAGAGATAAACCCTAAAAAAACCGAATTGAATGAGTGCGATAGTTCACCGAAACAAGAAATTTAACGACTCAATACATGGATCAACTATCTTCAAAATCTATCTTCAACTACGGTAGGAGAGTAATGACGCAAATGGTGCAGCTGGTCCTGCAGCTCCGTCCAAAAGAGGCTGGTTTGCTTACCTCAGGACTAAGCCTTGGAGAGAGGACGGACCGCTCTCTCGCAGGTCCTCCTCTCTTTAAGGCTTAGTCCTGAGGTAAGCATCAAATTGAGGCGGTTCTAAGGACCGAGTTGAAGTAGTCCGTCGACCGTCGGGACCCCATCCCCTCCGCAACATTTAGCATACAGTAGAAACGCCAAAAGGGCTGGTTTGCTTACGTCTTTGAACTGCACTCATGATTTGAGATTTGACGGTGAATTTAAATCGCTTACAAGGTAAGGCTGAGCATTCACAACAGAATTCCTGAGAGATTTGACATTCCAGACAATTCGACGCTACATCTCAAGTATCTGTAAACTAGCGCATCGCGAACTCTGAACACGCCTTGGCTCCCAGCAATACTGTTCCCTTGTGAAGGCTTGTGAAACCTTTAAAAAAACTAACAGAACTCGATCAGCTTTTGATAAGGACACGGTCAAAATTGCATTGATGACTTTTTGCGGTTCCCGATCAATTCACTGTAATGGTTGCAGGGAAAACTCCTTAGTGAAACTTTTGTTTAGCTCTTCATTTAGCAAAGAATTTACTTCTCAGAAACCATATGCAGGGAATAAATGAAAAAAAAGAATAGGAAGAGTCTTACATTCGGTGAGAACGTCATAAGAGACACAACGATTACCTCAGTTGGATAGCGGAATCCTTGGTCTTTGCTGGCAATACGTTCCAGGAATGAGTCGGCTTTATTCAACATCATTGCATGCTCAATACCCTTCCAGTCGAATATCTGCAACAGATCAGCTCCTGGTCCCTATGATTACAAGTACACAACAGAGTCCCAGCCAAGGCTCACCTTCTTTTTGATAAAAAGAAAAGCATTGATCGGGTTGATGAGGTCCTTGATGTCAGTGTTCATTGCTTCCTCATTTCGTTCCTCGTATTTCCGTATCATACTGAATAAAAAGCTGATGTGAATGTTCTCCATGATTGCAGCCAAAAAAGTACCGTACTCTTTGAGTTTTTCAAGACGATCATACTCGCTTTCAATGTATTTTCTGAGGATCTTTGGAATAGCTTTCTCAGACTGGAGCAAGGATTGCATATCGGCGATTGACGTGAACACATCTGCATCGACGGTGACAAGCAGTAAGACCAACAGGCCTAGTATGTACTGCGTCCTGGAATACACAGAAGAGTTTTTACAAACAATAAAAGACACAATATGACGACGACTTTCGTAGGGTAAAATTCTGAACGGCAGCGACTTATTTCCAGTTTGTGCTCTTTGAAAAAAAAGAAGGAGAGGGCAGTTTGAAAGCAAGAAAGTAAAAGAGTGATGAACGGTTCCAATCATGATCACAGTACCCTGCACTGAATCACTTTCTCCACATAGATTCTCGTTGCTTACGTTCTAACCATCCTTACCCCGTAACGCTTCCTTGAAATAGTCGCTGGAGAGCAAATGAACTCATCAAGAGAACTAAGTGTGCGATTTCGAAATGTTGATAATTGTAATCGATTGCGTATGAATTTGTAGAATTTGTATTGCTTTACTACACTTCCTTATTAGTAGACCAGTTCGGCTCCGCAAAATAACGCTTATGACAAACGGCGACCCAGCGAGCAACACAACTAGAATTTGAACTCTGGCTTCGCCCACCGGTGCTTTCTATTCCAACCGAGAATCCTTCTCTTCCCTCTTCGTTAGTCTTTTATCTTTTTTTCCCGATTTTCGAGCCCTCTCGGAACCAAATGTTAACGTTTCTTTGCAAACTCCGCCCACATCGGAGCATTTCCCAGCCACTAGTAACGGTAAATTTCCCTTCCTTCGCCAATCTCTAACGATTTTATTCCGACTCTTGGTACTTTTCGGAAGCATATTATGGATCTAACAGAAAACGCCGCTCACTCACAGGCCTAGTTTACGATGAAAAGGCGGCTCATCAGAAATCGAGATGGAGATGGTCAGCGATATAGGGATAAAAAAAACAAAAAAGGCTATAACCCAAAGAATGAGATCCTTTTCTGCCGGTTTATTTCCGCATTGATTCGACTCTCATCGGTGCTGCCCTCTTCAATGCTAATGCTCTATCTGCTGAACGGGCGACGGACTTTTGGTGCTACCGCGCCGCCGCGTGCCCCCCCCCCAACTTAGTTAGCACCCATCTCCTTTTGCTGTAATCTCTTCACTTACTCCGCTGCATTTTCCTATCTAACACCGCTAAATTTCACCGATCTCTCTCCGCGCGTGGGAAGTTTTTTTTTTCAAAGCAGAACCTTGCGGATTCTATCCGCGATCTGTACACGTTCTGACGTGTCAGGCTGATGTCAGAGTCCGCGATTTTTTGCGCGATTTTCGCGATTTGCGCGATTGTCGCGATTTGCGCGATTTTCGCGATTTGCGCGATTTTCGCGATTTGCGCGATTTTCGCGATTTGCGCGATTTTCGCGAAACCTGCGATGGATCACAGGAGTTGGAAGTGCCCGATGAATAGCAAGGTGTTGCTCAATTCCGTAATAACTTCAGTCGTCCGCACGACCATATACGCGCTTCGTGTGTGATATCGCGGTCTGTTCGGTACGCAGAGGTACATTCGGTCCCCCGATCGGTGAAAATCGCGGTACCCCAGCTGCTAATCCCTTGCCGTCAGACTCTAGTCGTTTTGGCAGAGAGGCAGAGCAGAGCCTTCACGTTGATGAGGTCAACAGACGTGACACTCGCATAAGGAGGATACAAAGATGGTGGCCACATAGCTGCATAAATGGGGTAACACCATGCTACCATGGTACGCCTCCATCCACTCTACACGCTGTGTTTAGTCAATCAGCGTTTTGAGTGTGTAATTGCAAACAGTTCTACGAAATTCTCATTAATATTCTGCCTGCAGAGGATAGGAGTTGATTCCAAGGAGGTGATTATGGTGCTGTGGCGCTATTTATAGGTAGCGGAACTGTGGAATATAGGGAACCCGCGACTTGGATCAGATCTGTATCGGTTGGGAGAATTGCAGAATACGGATTATTCGCGCAATCGACTTGATATCGCCAATTGGGCACGCTGCCTACAGTGATCTGTTGGAGTTCAAGTGGTGCAGGCGTACTTTTACTCTCGCCGATGCGCCCACTCGCCAGTTCATTGCAATGCGGTCGATTTGACTAGAAAAAAAAGACTACATAATTCAAGGTAACGTCGCGCTATTCATTTTTAACGACACTGTGGAATGTGCGGATTCCGCGACTAGATTGAGATTTGTATCGACTGGATGAATCATGGAATGCGGAGTGTAAGCGCAGTCAGCTTGTTCCGCGATGTAACCAAAATGAAGCCGGGTATTGGAGGAGGAGAAGTGCCAAAAACTCATAATTAGTCTATGTACATAAACTGGTCCTTCAATTCCCCAACTGTGGATGCCAGCGGCAATGGAACATTTATTGTAGTGTATTCTTTTATCGCATATCTAAGCTTGCACACAGTATCTCAATTCAAAGTTAACAGGTTTTTAGTGAGCTCATTCTGTAATTGGGAAAATCCGCGGTTTCATCCTTCCAGTTCCCCTTTCCCAGCGCAGAGTGCGATTTGCCTTTAATATTGCGTTCAAGTTTTCTTAATTATGGATGGTTGGCAAGACATTTGATACTGCCTTTATTTTCTACCTTTGAAGAATATTGTAAGTGTGCGATATGATCAGTAGAAATCCAATAGTCCGTTCACGTTTGTGAATAAGTCAGTTGGCTTCATAATCAATATTTTTCATGTGAAAAAATCTCTGGTTCTATCCTTCGATAAAATATAGCTTACTGTTAGATAGAAAAAGCTACAACAGGCTGCCTCCAACTAAACGGTAAACACTGGCACGTAATGTAAGGTTCACAATCTCAAATGCGAAGCCTAAACATCTGCAAAATGTGAACATAGCATCTAAATCCTTGTTTAAGAGGTTATAAATAGCAATCATGGAACGAACGTGACCAAATCATTTGCATAGGTTTGGTGGGGATCGATCGAGGGTGTCCGACTCTAAACCTTGTTCTGCGCATCATATTTGCAGTGATGTACTCACAAATGAGCAATTCTTAAACTGCAGTACGCAACCCATAGAAGAATTGTGCGCGCGACAGTCAATTATGCGTACGGCGGCTACGAAATTACGGTATCCCCGGCTTGCCCCGATCGGCAGGCGATAGGGGAGATATCCCCGGCTATCGGTGGGCGTGGCCTCTCCCCGAGAACTGTTGGGGGGGAGCATAGCATACCGGGACGGGGACCCCTCCCCTGTTGGGGGAGCATAGCATACGGCCCCAGCATACGTTTGAAGCGACGCGGGAATGCGCACAGAGTTTTTAGCTAGTTACAAATGAATGTCGAAAGCGACAGCCAGAACAAATTTAAAGTTTGAAAACAGGTTAAGAGAAATTTCCGAAAAGGAATTCCAGTAAATGCGCTCTACCTTCATATGCAACCCCACTATGAAAACCCGACAGCACGCGATAAGATACATCAGAATCAAAAAAAACCCCTTAGCGCACGTCCAACTCAAAAGTGCAGTCAGTGCGGTTTCATGGAAACCTAACTTGAAAATTGTAAATTGATTGAAACAGTTTTTAATGTGAAAACTTGATTCAACAGTGTCACAAAAAGGGTTACAGAAAAGTGATAACATTAAAAGAATACCAACGCTCAGGAGCCAGAATTTGTCATCACCGAAATCCCTAGGCCACCTCGAACACGACGCTAATGCGTCGACAATCCAACTGACTGAAGACGTCGGGGATGAATCCCCCTAGTCGAGACTAGGGGGATTCATCCCCGACGAATCCTCCCCGACGACCCTATGCAACAAGCCCCGAAGGTCGTCGGGGATATGTCCCCGACGATCGTCGGGGCTTGT